TGAAAGAGATTTGGAGATGTTGGATATATCTTCACTGGATATCAGTTACAGTTAGAATATCCAACAACAATGAAGGTTTGCGGTACATGATGTATCCACAGCTCAGCACATCTAAGGCACTTAGAGTGGCCGATGCCTGAAGCATCACACAGGAAGCCCCAAAAATAAACCCAGTCATTGATCGGAATGTGTCATTGGAATTGGTATCCTCTGGTTATGTCAAAATAGCTATTGAAAATGGCCATTTATAGTGAGTTTTCCCATGAAAAAGTGTGATTTTCCATGGATTTTTCTATGTTTACCAGAGGGTATCCACCATTTTTCACAGCTTCCCCTGCTAAGATCCAAACCCCAAGGGCCCATCGGTGGTGCACCTGGTGAGCTCAGACTGCCTCAAAATCTGTGGGTTGATGAGGAATATTGGGTTACAACATGGTATAACCACCCAAAAATGGATTTCAACCAACAATATGCCAATTCTCAATGGATTGGTCCAAGAGAGAACCAATCCAGGAAACCAATCGCCTTTTCCACGTGTGAAATTGCCCCCCAGGGCCTGGAGCCGCAGGTGCCGGCCTCGCTCAACGGGAGCCATGAAGGATGGAATTTTCAGCTACAACCCTGCCGCTATCTAACAATGGTGGATTATCATGGGCTAATAATGGTTGATATGAGTAATGGGATCATCATTAATGGTATAATGGATCATCAATACTTCTACCCTCTGGTAATCAAACATGGTTTGCTGGAAAATCCTTCGTTTGGCTCGATGATTTCCCATGAAACAACAACCAGAAACCTCCATTTGGTTCGGGGATTTCATACTACACAACCACCCCAAATCAGCCATGTCATTCCTGAGGCCCCTTGCCATGCTCCCGACTTCCCCTCCGGAGGTGAATCGGGCCTCATCCCCACCCCCGTATGGGTCGGTCTAATTTTGGAGGAAAACCCCAGCATGCCATCTGTCATCATCACTGTTTCCCAATTTTCCTCTGAAATTGCCCATCTTTGTTGTTCGTGGTTCTTCCCCATGGACGAACTCAAATTATGTGTTCATATGTTTTCATATGTTTTCATATATGTATATATGTGTTCCACCTGGATCACTTGAGAATGGTTTAATCTGTGTCATTCCATTCAATCTTGGTTGGTTCAGAACAGGGTTCCCATATATTCCCATAAAATGGGTGGTCCGATAATCCCGACTATCCTATGTAGTGGAAGCCCCAATAATCAACCAATCATCACTTGTCAATCATGACCCAATGTTTGATGCTCAAAATGATGCTTGAATTCAGTTAAACTCGCATACAAATCACCCAAAAACATCAACCAACCAGGGGTCTCTGCATCTTTTGAAGGTCAAACCCCAATGATGGCGTCCCCAACCAGGTACTCAAAGACGGCTTGCCGGAAATTCGGATTTCCCAGCCACATTCATCACCGTAAGTAACAAGTACTAGCAATGTTTCACCATGATTAACCATGATCAATCATTTACTAGACATGGTTTACCTCACTAAATCCAATTATATATATATAAATCATATCAAATCCCATTTCCATCAATTTCCATTTCTTCGTCCGTTTAATCTTCATCATGATATCCATGATTTAAGCCCCACTAAGGCACAAAAAATGGTGTACATATGCCATTCTTCATCATTAACCACTGGCATAGCATCAGCCACTGCTCACCATCTTGGGAGCCGGCCATGACATTGCTACGGGTGTGTTGACAGGTGTGCGGCAGGACCTCACAGAACGTTTTCAAATGGCGTGCGCACACACAAATATAATATATATATGTATGTATATATATATATATGTATGTATATATATATATATGTGTGTGTATGTATGTATGTATGTAGGTAGGTAGGTAGGTAGGTATGTAGGTATGTGTGTATGTGTGTATGTGTGTATGTGTGTATGTGTGTATGTGTGTATGTATGTATGTATGTATGTATGTATGTATGTATGTGTGCTAGTATGTTAGTATGTTAGTATGTGATACATATGATATGTATATTCGTACATGATATATATGATATATATGATATATATATATAGGGGTAGACTAGAGATCAGCATGCTTTTCAGGTCAAGGCAAGGCTATATAATGTGCCATTGGGATACTACTTCGAGATATCCCCAAATTCTTCACTGTACACCAATGAATTAAACTGCCACGGGTGACCATCCAACCCGGCTAAGCTCGCCATGAGCTGCAAAAAGTGCTCCTTTATACCTTCATGGCAGCCAAACCCCCCCCTTGCCAGGGAACCCTGGGCTTCATAAAAACGCTGCCTACAGCAGGTGAAAGGGGAGGGAGGCGGGAGCCCAGATGCTACAGCATCAATCTTACGCACCCCTATAGGACTGTTATCGTTTCAGTCCCTTTGGTCCTTACACTCAACTCGGATCTATAGGGGTAGACTAGAGATCAGCATGCTTTTCAAGTCAAGGCAAGGCTATATAATGTGCCATTGGGATACTACTTCGAGATATCCCCAAATTCTTCACTGTACACCAATGAATTAAACTGCCACGGGTGACCATCCAACCCGGCTAAGCTCGCCATGAGCTGCAAAAAGTGCTCCTTTATACCTTCATGGCACATTTCCAACTTAAGCACATTACCTTTCCGCTAACAGCATGTGCGCCCCTAACGCAGTTGCTTGCAAAACCTTTCCAACTTTGCAGAATAAGTTGCCAACAGAGAAGCTTGTGATGGGGAAAAACGCTGCTGAATAAGGGCTGCTCGTCCCGTGTCCAGATAAATACGGGCAGTACGAGCGCTCTGCCATCGACCTCTAACCAAAAGCTCATCAAAGGATGTGCCCATTGTAAAGGCGTGAGAGGCGCCTCCTCGACGAAGGCTATAGGCAGAAAAGGCAAACTCTTCGAGCTTAAAGAAGGCAGCAAATTGTTTGAGGGTGGATCTAAAAGAAGCAGCAGATTCCTCCCAAAAGACCTGGCAACCTTGGCGCAAAACATAAGCTACCAGCTTAGCCACTAAATGATCCTCTACACAGACCGTTTCCTCACGCTGGCGCGATGTTTTGGTGCTGGGCAGCGCCACCAAGATTCGCCCAAGGGCTGTGTCAACCGCAACCTGTGTTGCGGCGAGTGAAACGAGCTCCCCTGTACGTAGGAAAGCTAAGAAGGACACTAGCAGCAGAGCTGCCAGGCTAACTTGGCGAGTAGCCACGGCTAAGCCAGCGTATGCCATGACAACCACAGGCGGAAACGGGTTAGCCTGTTTGGTCACATGAGTTGACTGCCAGTTGGCATAATACTGCTTAGCCCGGGGCAAACGCCAGCGAAGCTCAGGCAAAAATCGCTTCAGCCCACTCATGAGGTGTCCCGCATAGGTGATCGGCTGATCATCCTGCCACATATGTTCCAGGTAAAGGCTGACGCACTGGTCTAACCTTTTGGAGTTACCCGGAACTGGAAGCTCCTCATCATCCAGGTATCGGAAGAAGTTCCGAATTGCACGCCGGTAGCTTTGCACTGTTCTCGGCTTTAAGCCGGCAAACTGGAGGGTCATTTTGCCCGACGTGAGGGCTTATCAGCCCAGTTCCAAGCGCTGATTGTCCAAACCGGGAACAGTGCTACATCGGCGGCTAACAACAGAGGCATGAGTCTGCGTAGGACTCGATTCAGCTGGGTGGAAGGAGACCGGCCCTTGCCCACCGCATAGAACAGCACCTGGCTGTCCACCACGATCATCAGTCTGCAGCTGCGCAACAGCGGGTCACGCAAGATGCGACGGACGTGGGCAAGGAAAGCTTGCGCCTCAAGCACGTTGATGTGCGCTTCTTTCTTCCACTTGAAGCTGAGGACATCACGCCAAAGCCAGCGCCCAGCGGGGTACGGCACCAGATGCTTGGCACCACAGTGCTCCACGGCCAGGCGGATGTCACTCCCTCTGTAGTGGGCTCGGGTCAGCAACCACTCCAAATGCTGCCGTTCCTGCCCCGCGACCATTCGGTCTTCGACCTGGATGATTTCCTTCGCCATTTTCTGGCGGAGCTCCAAATCCTCGCACTTGTGGTATTTTGCGAGGGCAGCTTCCACCGCCTGCAGGCGGGCCAACTGGTGAGCTTGCTGCACATGCGCGGCCAAACCCAAATGGGCGGCTGCTCCGCGCGCATACTCGGTGCAGAGCCCTGTGGGGTATTGGGCCTCCTCTTCGGTGGGGAAGATGACCCGTCCTCCGGCCACATACGGTTGATAATCCTCCCCATGGTGGGGGCACTCAGGTTTGTGGAGGACCTCATAGATACCAACATTGTTGGTGAGCACTGCGGTCCACTTGGCCCTGCGCCCACCATAGCAGCAGTTGCTGAATACGGCCATCCGGGCATTGGGCCGCGCCGCCAACTCCATGGTGGCTTTCATATACCAAATGAAGCTCCGATACGGGTGCTCCAGTGAGAAGTATTTTCCAGCATCATCCAACTCCTAGCATCTCTTGATCGATGCATGGGCCATTTTGTTTCCTTGACGGACCTTTACTGCGTCTTGGCCTTTGAGGTTTGGGAATCCCATCACATGCCGCTCATCTCGAAGCGCCGGCGGGCCACGATGGAACTTGCCCCCAATGTAGAAGGGCTTTCCTCGCGCTCTGGACATGGTTTTGCAATCCGGCGCATGGTGTTCGTAGTCCGGATCTTCTTCGGCCAAGACGGCCCACTGACTTTTACCTTCTTCGGTGAAAAAGTCCATCCCTGCTCCACGTGCTCGATCATAAGGCGGCAAGAGGTCGAAGCCTTGTCGTAACATGGCTTCGGTCAAGGGGGCCTTTGGGCCGCTCCATCGCTCGCTGAACACTGGCACAGCCAGGCGTGCCAAGGGGCAATGATCCCTGTGCTCAAGGTAGCACCTAAGGGAGCAGAAATGTCCCCCGCACTTCTTGGGACAATCAATCTCCTCGCCGACCGCCATTGCTTCACCCATGTCCTTTCGGCAGGACCCACACAGGAGGTCGCTGGGATTGCAAGCTCCTGGCTCCCGTTTAACCTGACGTGCCACGCAACTGCCCGCCCCCGTTGGCGAGGCGTCGGTAGCATGTAGGTACGGGTTCACCGGCGACTTGAGGTTGGTGAACGCGAAGGGCAGCAGGCCCAACATTCCCAATACCTCATCAAAACTTTGGTTGCTCGCCACCTTCGTGGTGGTCTGCCCAAAATGCTTGAAAATCTCTGCAAAGCCAGCCAGCAGTGGCCGCCGGAAAGCTCCGGCAAAGATAAACCTGCCGATGATTCCCGAGGTCCGTTTCGGGTTCCATTTTTCTTGCGCCAGCAGCCACATGAAAAGAGCGGCATCAAGCTGCATCTTTTTGATCTGAAGGGTGAATACACCATCATTCCCCCTTAACTCTCCTCCCTGGATGCTACCATGGAGGGCGCCCGCTAAGGTCTTGGCCTCATTGCGAGGCAGCCCCAAGCGGTCACACGCCTCGGTCAACCTCTGGTGTTCCTCTGATCCAGTCCCTTCCAAAACCTTTGCCATTGCTTTGCTGACTGGCCGGATCTGGTCGACCGAGTCGAGGTACAAGAGGAATTTGTCACCCTCTGGGAGGGGCTTGTTCTTCTGGATCTCCCCTTCTAGGGGAAGCTTGGCTTCCTTGAAGGCCACATGTCTGATGGCGGCCTGGACAACTCCTACCGCGGATATCCATCCCATCGGCACCGTGCGCAATGAGACGTAAACCAGGTCCTCTGTGGCTAGCCCCAGGACAGTACCTGGCACCTGCTTCCGGTAGCAGAACAAACCCCTCCACCCCTGCGGCATTTCAAAGAGGTTGAATGCGCTTTGGAGATCCTCTGAATCGATCAGGACGCAGCCGTCTTCTGGAAGATTCAACAAACAGACCTGGCCCACGTAGGGCAAGGTTCCTTCTTGGCCTTCAATCTTCCTACTCACCGCATTGAGCGGGCAAAAGATGGAGATGAACCGTTGCAACACCTGTCCATCCTTTTCTTTTGGGACTGCACCAGCCCCATTGAGAATCTTCTCACCAGTAGGGCCTGTTAAGACCTCTTCCTCAGGACAAAATTGAAACAGTCCCCTCTTGTAGCCCTCGTGAACCAGTGCGTTCCACTCCTCATCCGTTGCCCTCACATAGGAGCTAGGTATGTCGTCCGGCCACTGGTCATAGGGGAGGATTGTATCCATCGGGGACTCCACCAGCGCTTTGGTATCTCCCTCCAAGAACCGAACAAGAGGTTGCACTGCCGCCTTTCCTATCTCTGGCCAGCACTTGATCACCTTCTGACTCTCGAGCTGCTCCATGACAACCCATGAGTTTCCTTCATAATCTTGCCCCTTCTGGGACAGCAACTTTTCCAGCTCTTTTGGCCTGGGCACCCTGGGATCATTCTCAAGCAGTCTTTCAACGGCTGGGACCAGATGGTATAGAAGGAAATCCTTCTGAGACCCAGTCAGTTCCCGAGGGTGCTCGAGGTGACTCGCTCTGTCCCAACCCGCACAATACCAAAAGTTGAGACAGAGGCAAGAGAACGTGGCCCATCCTCTAATGCCCGCGTCCTCAATGAAATCAGCCTCCCACACCGACTCCACTGATATCGGCAACAAGTCGTGGGCTGCGGGCCCAGACGCCTTGACCTTTTCAACCGCTGCTTCATCCAATTTCTCCTTGAATTTGCCGAACTTCGTGTGGAGGCAGCTCACATTGGCAACTAGCCACTTTCCCATCTCCTTCAAAGTAAGTCCTTTGCCGACTAGCATGGTGTGAAGTTTCTCCTCAAACTCCTTACGGTCTCTTGACCTTTCAGATGTATTCTTCTCGGCCGTCACGGGCTCTTCACCTGTGCCTTCTGAGGTCTCATGGGGACAGGCTTCACCCATGTCCTCATCTTCACCTCGTCGTCGAAGAGGCTCCTCCGGCTCAGCAGGTTGCCTCGCAGGACCGGCGCCGACTAGGCTCCTCCCGCGTCGTCGTTCCTGCTGGCGATCCTCTCCGCTGGCGTTCCCTTCTTTCCTTTGCCTTTTGCATCGCTCCCCTTCCTCCGGGGATCCGGACCGGGGGCGCCTTTCCCGCGGCCTTTCCTCCAAGGCTCCTGCTCCGACCAACCCGGGCCTCTCCTGGTCTTGTCCTCTCTCTCGGCCTCCTTGGCCATCATCTCCTCCTCTCCTGGGTCGACCAGGGCTGCGTCGTCCGCCTCCACTAATTCCAGGTGTTTCGCCTTCCTCCACTGGTTGCTGTCCTGAGCACTCTTCTCTAGCGCCTTTATCCTTTGTGCTAGTATGTCTCCTGCTTCTGCTCCTTTCCCTTCGACTACCAGGTCGAGCAGGGTGGTCGCGACCTTCAACTCGCGCTGTGTGCGCTGTGTCCACTTTGCTTGCAGCGCTGGCGTCATGATCGCCAGGAAGTACATGTGGGCGACTGGTTTCACCCTGGCTGTCTTTTTCAGCGACTTGTTTTCGGCCCCCCCCCGAACCCGGTACTCTTCTCCATTTTCTTGAGTAACCGGGCCGCCAGCCTTCCGGGGCGTCGCTTGGCGTACCTCACCAGCTTCATGTGGCGAGACGTCAGGGAGGGGGCCTTTTGAAAAGACGACCCTGATCCTGAGGCGTCAGAGTCGCTTGAGTCTTCCTTCGAAGACGTTTCCTTCTCCCACTCTTCGGTGGCAGCCATGCCAAAGGGCCCTCTGTCTTTGGCCTTTTTGTCCTTTTTCTTCTTCTTTTCAACTTTGTCCTTCTTTACCTTCTTCTTACCTTTCGCCTTCTTTGCAATCTCTTTCTTCTTCTTCTCACGTGCCTCCTTGCGCACGGCTTCTTCCTCCTCACTGCTGGAGCCATCCTCCTTTTCTTCATCGGTCTCGCCCGAGCTAACGTCCCCCGAGGACTCCTCTCCTCTCAGGCCCTTCACATCAAAGGCTTCCTTTTTCTTGATCTCCTCGCCCGTCCTGCCGGGTCGCTTGTCACGGGGTTTCCTGGATCTGCTTCGCTTTGGCGGGGCCACCTCTTCCTTTTCGACTTCGGCCTTCAAAGCCCTCAATTCCTTCTCCATGGCGGTGATGCGCGCCTTCTTGGCTTTCATTTGGCCCCCCTCCTTGTCCTTCTCCTTTTCAGGGCCAGTTTCCTTTCCTTTGTCTATATTGAGTTTGCTCTCTCCCCAAGGGAGGCCACTTCTTGCCGGCTTTTTCTCCGGATCACCAGTCCGGGCCACCTTGAAATATCGGCTCATCATTGCTGCCGCCTCTTTAGATAGGCTTGGGACCTTCCCATCTGCCAGCTCATCCTCAGACCATGTTCTCCACTTTCCCAAATGGACCACCACTGTGCCCGCGGCTCCTCCGACGCAAGATCTTGGGTCTCCTCGGCACAGGTGATAATTTCCATCCACCGTGGAAGGGATTCCTTCTGGGGAAGCCGCCCAGTACCTGTAGTACTCGTCGGTGGCGGTCACCAAGTCCCCAAGGAACGTTCTCCCAGAGCTGCCCGTGCCGAACAGCCGCTTCACCTCTAAGAAGATTGTCCCTTGATCGTCTTTGTTGTCATCGAAGACCTTAGCCTCGATGAACTGTCCTCTCTGGGGGCAGGCCAGTGACCCAGGGCCACCAACCCACCTCCCAGGCATCTCTCCGGAATCCCGGGCAGCTCACACCATTCTCAGGTGCTGGACCTGGTCCTCTCGCCACCACGGGCAAGGCTGCTAAGAGCCCAGATGCTACAGCATCAATCTTACGCACCCCTATAGGACTGTTATCGTTTCAGTCCCTTTGGTCCTTACACTCAACTCGGATCTATATATATGTATGTATATATGTATTTATATATATATATATACATATCTAGCACCCTCGCGAAATCGAAAAGATTTTAGTAGGATTGTACTTCTGTATATTCTTTTTGGGGCTGCTATATTTGCACATGTATATCTATACGGATGCATAGCTACATGGGAAGATCCACAATCAAATCTGAGCTGCAACCAGGGCCCAGCGATCATAAGATCCAATAAGTCTGGTCATATCCAAGATCAAGTTGATTCCGAATCAGCAATTAGGTCCACTGAATGGCATAATGCATGCATAATGAATCATGCTTACAACACCTTGAAATATGATGAAATATGCAAATTGTTCTTGACTGGCACCCCACCTAACCCCAGAACTTCAGATTCCCGGCGCGTCCCAAAGCCCCTGCGACCGAGTCGGTGGGTTTCTGAAAAATCAGCCCAGAAAGGGGAGAAACCCATCCCAGCACAGTTGAAACATCTTCCAGGGAGCCGGTTTGGACCTTCCATGTGGAGGTCGTTGAACTCTTCTTCTACAAGGCCGGCCGGGGCTCTCCAATCGCTGCTCGACTTTAAAAAAATCGCGAAATCCAAATGTATTGAATATATATATATATATGTATTTATTTATTTGTCTATTTATTTATTTTATCTATTTATTTTTTATATACAAAAAAGGCACATATCGCATTTAGATTCATCACCTAGAGTTTAACTTCGTATGGAAATTTCCAAAGGACATATCATATAATGTCCCACAGCTAATCTGAAATCAGGAAGGTGAACATGTCATCTGCCCCTCAGCTACTCAGCGCCTTTGGTGTCGGAGCCATCCCGGTTTGAGCCCCAGGCGATCCTGCAGGCTGAGACTAACTACAGTAGGAACCCATGTGGAAACTAGATGTATATAACTGGTTGGAGGTTGAGAAACGATGTGAAGAAAGGTCAGTGATGGTGATGATGATGATGATGATGATGATGATGATGATGATGCCAGGTAGGATGCAGTGAAAACAATGGTACAGCTGATTCACAATGCAATATAACTCTAGTAGCTTCCTTGGGAAAGAATCTAGCCTGGTCCATTTGGATAGCAGCTTATGACTTCTTTTTTTGGGGAAACCTCTAGCTACGAGAATCAACCAACGTTTATCAATCTGGAATTGATATTGGGTTCCTGTTCTTGTGACAGCCAAAGGCCTGCACTGAACCCGCCTGGTGGCAAAAACCGCATCTGGTCAGGATGCGGCAACTGCATGTTCGGCGAAGTACCTGTGCCAATCGGATGCCAATCTCAGCGTCCAGCATGGCAAATGTGCCATGAACATGATTCAACATGTAGACATCAGCAACAAATCCATCATCCCCCTGACGAGAAAGACCTCTACAATATCCCACATATTATCCCACAATTAATCCCATAAATATGGAACCCCAACCTGGACAGCTTTGAATGATCCCAGCACCAGGGCACCAGTGACCATGCGGCTGGATGCATCTCCCAAGTGCTTCCTGGAGCAAAACCCGCAGTTCACTTGCCTTTATCTGTGTAAATGTACTTGTGAACTTACGAATATTTATATCTTTATATATACAGAGAGAGAGAGATCATATAGTATAAAAATGATACTACAGATTACTACAGCGGTATATCTATGTATCTATGTATCTATGAGTATTTATGTACAGTATATATGTAATTATATGATGTCCCATCTGTACATATGCAGGATACAGCATGTGAAATTAAACATGACGGGATAAATTATGATCAACCAGTAGATTTTGGGGTATACTGTTTTCAGACGAACCCAAACAAATCAATGCAGGGCCCAGGACAAGGCTATATAATAGTTTTGGTCCGACCTTCTTACTTTCCCTAACCTGCAGCCACAAAAGCTCAGAATCTCAAGAAATACATCTTTCAAGAGCCCGGTCTCGACTTCCATTAAGGGTACGTTTATGCAAAGTGCTTTCTAAGGCCCACCCGAGCCAACACACCAACCCCATATCTGCAGCCAAAATGCCCTCCAGCCATTGGTGACGAGACTGAGCGGGATTCGGGGATGGGGTATGATGGGGTTATATAGGGTTGTTGAGCTTTAGCACCCAGCTTTCGCTCAGGTTTTCCCACAATGTGATGCCCTTCTCTCTCGCTCTCTCCATCGCCATCTCAAGGAGTTCAGCTGAGCTAAAGGCGAGATGTAGACTAAGTATACACATGCCAAGGGATGGTGGTGCCCTTCACTTGCGTAAGTTTATATAAATATATATGGTCCATTAACTAGTTGAATGGGCACGTATGTATGATTATAATTGATTGTATATGTACATATTGCAAGAAACCCATCGTTAACCTACTTAATTCAACCAACTTAGCTCACCTACCAGGTTAGAGGGATAAAACTTGGTC